GCAACCTTCAACACTGTCACAGGTGTGCGGCAGGATCCCCCTTCCACATGCAGCACAGTCCATCTGTAAGCCAGCTTTCCATTGCTGGGAAGAAAGTACCTGAGATAATCAATTTTCAAGGAGGAAAGACTTATTTTGGCTCATAGTTTCAGTCTATGGTCAGCTTTTGAGCCTGTCTCCAGGGAGAACATCATTGTGGAAGCACATTGTGGAGCAAAGCTGCTCATCTCATGGCAGATGAGCATCAGGGCGAGAGAGGTGGGGGGAGAAAGGGAGGGAGGGAGGGAAAGAAGGGGCCGGGTCTTAAGGGCATGCCCTCAGTGACCTGTCTTCCTCCCTAGGTCCCACTTCCTAAAGGTTCTACCACCCTCTGTAGTGACACAGGTTTGTGAATCATGGGCCTTTGGAGGCTCACGGAATATTCAAACTATATCATTGTTTGAGGATGATGATGATGGGGACAAAAAAAATACCAAAAGAAACATAAATGTACGAAATATTGTTTACCATCTATGGCCTGTTCTGGGATGCTCACAGATCTCATTTCAGATAAATGGTGGGGGAAAGATGGTTGCCCAAGTTTTCTCCTTGCTCTGATTGGCTGAACACCCTGCACTGGGCAATGCACACCAACTTAGTCAGAAAAGGAACACAGTAAGGTACCCACAAGTAAGTTAGGTCATTGGAGGTGGTGTATGTGAAACTCCTTGGCTTCCTTCCCTGCATAATCATGGTCCCAAAGACAAAGAACAACTGGAGAAGATGTTGAAGAAGTCCCCCCCCCCCCCGAGTCTTCTGGTTACACCAGAGAGGGAGACTCCTCACAGATAAGCAAAACATTGAGCTGGAGTTTATTCCTCTCCCACTGTTCTTATTTCTTCTGCTTGGACTAGTGTGAAATAAGGGCACAGAGGATTTTTAATGTTTGTTGATTATCCACTATGTGTAAGTCTGGTATAGGCAATAGGTAATATCATCTTGATTTTATACAGGAGGAATCTGAAATTTGAGATTAAATCAATTGCCTGAAGACAGCTAAAAATTAGTAGACTCAGGACTGAGCAAAGCTGTCCATTTTCAGTGCCCTTGGCCTTCCCATGACATAAGCATGAATAATACAGATTGCTCTCATATATCTTTCATGTTCTCATCTTTGGCAAAGAATATTAGAAGTTGAGAACTTCTATGGATGAAGGTGTGTCTCCTCCTTCTATGGATGTGTGTCTTCCTATGCTGAAACCTAATCCCAAGTGGCAGTTTTGTTGCTCGTGGCAGAGGACTGGGGGCATGATGAGGCTATGAGGCAGGAGCGTTTATGAATGGTGAATGGGATAAGCAGTTCCAGAGATCCCCCACCCCTCTGCCAAGTGAGGTTATAGCGAGAGGACAGGAACTGAACCAGGAAGCAGGCCTTTGCTAGACACTAACACCTTGATCTTGGAATTTCCAGCCTCTAGGACTCTGAGAAGTAAATATTTGTTATTTACAAGCCATCCAGTCTATGCTGGGTGCTTTTTTGTTTTTAAATAGCAGCCTAAATGGACTGAGGCAAAAATTCAAACTACTAAGGATCATCTTAGTAAGAAATGCTTGGTTAATTAGGTAGAAAGGCTAGCATAGTGCAAATCAGGAGACTACTGAAGGACCTCTCTCCCTCCTACTAAGTGACAGAGGGAAGGAAGATGTCTGATTTACTACAAGGTATTCTAAATAGCAGACGACTTTCTGTGGAAGAAGATGCCGTCACCATGTAGACAGAGGCAGAGGAGGAGGAGGTGCCAGCAGAACTGAATTTCTTTCCTCTGTTGCCAGAGAAAATATTGAAGTAGGACTGGCATTATTGGTGATCGACTGGGTCATTTTCTTCTCCAGGTCCTCAAGGTCCTACTTTACACAAGATGCACATTGAGTTTTCGTTATTGTAACAAATACCTGAAATAATAACTTATAAAGAGAAAACCATTATTTTGGCTTATAGTGTTACAGTTTTCAGTCTAACACTGGTTGGCCCTGTTGCTTTTGGCCTATGGCAAGAAGGCACATCATGGCAGAAGTGTGTGGTAGAGCAAAGCCATTTGCCTCATGATAGGAAGTGAAAGAAAAAGGAAGCGAATGGGCAAGGGTCCCACTCTCTCCTTTCGATATTAAACTCCCAAAGATTGGAAGTGCTTTCACTAGGCCTCACCTTTAGCAGGTTCCACCACCTCTGATAGTGCCAATCTGGAACCAAGCCTTTAACACACATCTTCTGGGAACAGTCCAGATCTAGGGTGGAGACTCTGGCATGGCTTTTCTCCAGGATGGTTGTTGGTTCACACCCCCATCTGCCCCCAGCCCCTCCTGATCTCCTTCTGAGCTTATTGTGCCATGGAGCTCCTCTGAGGAGCAGCTCTTCCCTCCCCAGCTGCCTTTTGTGCACAGGCTGTCTCCATCTTCTCTGATTTGTTTTCTCCATCCATCAATCTCACAGCCTTCTTTTATTTCAGAAATTACTCAACATTTTTGTTCTTGCACTGTCTTGCTTTGACAGCTGTCACAGATTTCTTGAAGTTTAGTGAAATTTGAGAAGGACAGAAAAAAGTGAGCACTCTACCATCTCAAGTCTCATGACCTTTGATTTGCAAATGACCCCTGCTCCCATTTTACTGAAGTAAGTTGACCTGATGAGATGCCCCCACCCCCTGCCACCTGGCTGCAATGCCTGCCAAGTGGCTAGACCTCTTCCATTTTATTTCCTGTCCCCATGACAAGAGTTTTGAATGAGATTTTTTATTTGCCAAATCTGTCCTTGTAACATACTCCTGTCAAGTAAAACAGTAGTACTCCCATGCACGTAACAAATTAAACTGGTAAATTCTTTTCCCCAAAATTTATAGCTAAGTGCTGAAGAGTTAACAGAAAATCTTGTAAATAGGGAGCCTATTGCTTTCTTCCAGACAGCCCAGGGGTGCAGTGCTGGTGTGGAATTATGAGCTGGGCACATCTGTAGAGGTGCCAAGGAGTTTCTGAAGAAGGCCTGAAGCTGGACCACTTCCCAGCTGAGGTGAAATGTTTTAAGAAATCTCTCAGATGATGAAGACACCTGGGTTCTGCTGCAGATAACACCTCAGAGGAGCTTCAGGGGAAAGTATGTCTGGATTAGTGGCCAGATCTGAACTATGGGTAGAAGGCTGGGCCCAGCACAAATCACCCAGGACTGCACTGGAGTGGAGTCTGGCATGGGAAGTTTGGAGGAGACACACATCCATCCATCCATAGAAAAGCCGCCCATACCAACTTGGAGACATACCTGTACTCTAAGGGCTGAGTGAGACCTCAGGGTCCCATGGGACACTGGGCCTGAGAGGAATATAATACTTTCCTGTTAATATGGGTGGCTGAGAACTCAGGCAGTGCTATTGGATCTGCATTGTCCCCTAAAGGAAGGCACGTTGAAGGATTGGTCCCCAGCCCGTGACATTATTGGGACATGGTGGAACTTTTAGGAGGTAGGGCCTAGTTGAAGGAACTTAGGTCACTGGCTGTATGCCCTTAAGGGAATTTTAAGACTTGGGCTCCTTCTTCTTTTTTTGATTCCCAGCTACCTTGAAGTGAACAGACCTCCTCTGTCACATGCTTCTGCCATAATGTACTGTGCTACCACAGGCCCAAAGCAACAAGGCCAAGTGACTATAAACTGAATCCTTGGAAACTGTGAGGCAAAATAAATCTTTGCTCCGTTAAAGTTGATTATCTCAGGTATTTTGTCATAGTGACAGTTGAGTAACAAAGGCAGGGTTTGGAAAAAGTAGACTGGTATTGTCTCCAGGACTAATGAAAAGGGAGAGGTGAAACTCAGCCATTGAGGACTAATTTTTAAGCTCAAATTGGGACTATTTCCTTATCCTAAGGTCAAAATAATTATCATGTTTTAAAATACAGCATATAAAAATATCAGAGAAAGCACAATAGTTGTTAAAAATAATTTTTAATCATAAATATAGCTGTAGAATCTAGGTAGTAAGCTTAGGGTTGTTCACTATATTTTTTTCCAGTTTTTCTGTATGTTTTAAAATTTTCATGGCAAAATGTCTAGAAGTGGGAAAATACATTTTGAGGAACCCATGGTGCCACTGTCAGGATTCCAGACTAAGCCCACATGCTCTGGGGCTAACATGTTTAGAAACTGACATTTCAGTTAATCCTCATAGACATTCTTTTTCGTTTTTTGAGAATGAGGTCTCAATATGTTGCTGCTTGAACTCCTGGGCTCAATCAATCCTCCTGCCTCAGCTTACTGAGTTGAATGCTGCTGTGCCTAGTTATGTTTGTGTATTTTTTGGGATGGGGGTGGGGGTGAATACTAAGGATTGAATCCAGGGGTGTTTAACCCCTCAGTCATATCCCCAGCCCTTTTCTTTCTTTCTTTCTTTTTTTTTTTTTAATTTTAAAAGTTAAGTTACTTGGGCCTTGGTAAGCTGTTGAGGCTGGACTTGAACTTGCAGTCTTCCTTCTTCAGCCTCCCAAGTGGTTGGGATTATAGGCATGTGTCACTGAGTCCAGCACCTGTTTAGTCTTAAGGTCATTTTATATCCACACATTACTTTGGGGCAGCCCCTATACCCCAAGTTAGATTTATCATGAAATGGGTCATTTTACATCACCCTTTAAAGATAAATACACCAGTATAATAATATAAGGAAAAACTAAGGAGACCTTTAAAACTGTTATATGGTGCCACTGCAGCTTAACTATAGAAGTTATATCCTTAGGTAGTATCTATGAGAGAAGTACAATTTTTAACCATGTAGAGTGGAATTTTAAAGTGAAGGCAGACTTACCTAAGGAGAATATATTCATTGATAATAATACCTAATTTCCAGTTCTTCCTTGAATAGGCGCATCATCCACCCTCACCCCCACCGCACATGGCTGAACTCATGACCCACCACACATCCTTTCCCATTAGAAACTTCATTTCTACACTCTTTTCTACTCCCCAGCAAAAGAACCACAGTACATGCCCAAATTTATTTTTTATTGTGCATACATAGGAAATAGGACCCTATCAAAAGAGAACAAAAAAGGACGTGAGCCAAGTGTTGCAGAGGAAAAGCATGCACAGGTCTGCCTAAAGTTTACTCCTAACCACCCACTCTATAGGACTTCAACGCACCAGGAGCTGGAATCAGTCTAAGAAGTGGTCACCAACCACCAGCAGCACAAAGGAAATGAGAGTGGCCAGGAAATGTCAGCAGAAGTGGAACTTCCATGGACAGTGTCAGTGCTCAATGCACAGGAGTCTAACCCAGGTTCAATGGGAAACAAATCTTACATGAACATGGGAATATAAAATTGTTGAGCCCTCCCAGTTGTTGGAAAAGATAAACAAAATTTAGTTGTGGGCACTGGGTGCCTCACTCAGCTGCACTCTGATCCAATTCCAGGGACAGTGCTGAGTGCTTCTTTATTTAAAAAAAAAAAAAAAGTAATGGGAGAAATTGAAAATGTAAAACAAATGACCTGGAGGAAGAGGAATTGTTTGGACCCATGTAGTTGTCTCAGTTGTAAACAGCAGACATTGTGCTTTGTTGCTTCATTGAAATCGAGGACTTGAGCATGGGGAGGTATTGCAGTCAAGGACAGGAGGTCAGAGGTCACACAGGGTGGCAAGGGTCAAAGACACAGGCAGCATCATCTGTGTCCATAGATTGGTCCCCAGGGTGTTGGTTTTGGTCCCAGGCACTTCCCGTGGAATTCCCTGGAGGTCCCCACATTCTCTGTCCTTAGAGTAAGTCCGCACAGTTACTTGAGCCCCACTGCTTTTCCTCACCCTTCATCTCACATAAATACCCCAGCAGAGCAAAGAAACTGTGCTTCTTGATCTGGGGGAATGAAAACCATCCCACATCTGCTCCTGAGAGACATCTTGATGCACAAAGTTCAATGAGTAGCAATTTCTTAAGAGGCTTTAACTAGGTCAATTAAAAAATAAGCAACACCTCCCACCAGCCCCACTCCCCATGATACTACACACAGAGTAATCTAGGTATCTTTGCTACGCTGCTTTGCTCTTAGTACACACGACACGGGCAGGTCTCAATCTGGGTTTAAATACATGTCAACACTGCTAACTACGCAGAGGAACAGAACTCCCTGCTATCTGTCAACAAAACCTGCAACTACTATAAGACCCTGGGGTAAGATAGGATTCTCCTCTGGGGATTTGCATTTTTAACATCTTCTTTATTCTATTTTTGATCACATGGTCAGTAAATGAAATCAGTACTTTTCCCATCTTTCTCAGTAAGCTCCCTATCTTCAGAGCCCAGCACACTACCTCTCAGATCAGACACAGCTGCCGCCCGCTCTGGTTCAACAAGTCTGGCTGTGCCTTGCTGGGCATGTTGGCTGTTTTTTCTCCCTCTGAAGTTGATGTGATTTCTCAGCCAGATGTGTCCTTCTGCTTTGAAAGTGCCCATCAAATCCACCCACAGCTGCCTTGGGGAAGGATGCAAGAGCCCTCTGGGCACTGGCATCCAAGGAGGACACACTGCCTATCTGATCTCAAAGGACAGGACACTACATATGTACTTCCAAGAATGCACTAAAAACGGGGATATATTTTTCTCCCCAAGTCAGAACAAGAGCTTATAAAATGAAATGTCCCAGTTTGGAGCAGGGATCAATTTCCCATAAATTTAAATAACTTTATTGATCTTCAGATAACCGCAGACATCCAACGTGAGCCTGATTCAGATCCATCTGGAGGTGGAAGCGGCAGCACTCGGCTGTTCCTTGTTTAGGCAGAAGGAAGCCTATCTTCAGGATATGAGAGAGAAAAAAAAGTGTCAAGAGTCTTTTTCCCCTTGCACATTTCTCCAACAGCTTCTGGAAGAGGAAAAATGGGCTTTGATGGCTGGCAGCCACCCTGCCCAACCTCATCTGGCTTCATGGGCTGTGCTGCCTGCTGCCTGCAGGACTCGCCTGGGCTGGCTCCTCCATCGGTCCCTCTCACAGGCTGGCTCTGCCTTCCTCTTCCTTTTAGTCTCTCCTGAAGATCTGGCCACACCACCCAAGAGTGTTAACCCTTGGGGCTGTTGCCACACTGCTAGAGAGCACAGATTACATTAGAAACAGAAGCAACAGAGGAGACACAGTGTGAATTCAAATATTGTCCTCCACGGAAAACTTGAAAGGGAGCTGTGCTTGCTTTGAAGATATCAAAGAGGAGTTTGCCCTTGGACCGTCCCTGGAAGTGAACTTCAATGGGGATGGGAACATCCATGGGGATGGGAAGGGCCTGGTGAAGAGCCCTGTCCCACCTCTCCACCTCCCAGGAGCATTCTCTTGCTACTTGTCCTTCACCACCTGTTCATACGGGGGTGGGGGTGTGTTGCAGTAGGAAGGAGGGGGTGGGTAGGCTGTGCCTCCCTGGGGTGAATTGGGTTGGACCTGGAAAGCCATTGCCATGGTATTCCCGACAGGATTCACTCCTAGTCCTCCAGGGTCAGTGTAATATGGCGGCCCCGGCTGCTGGGCTCCTGAAAGACAGACAATCATATGTGAGCACAAAAGAGAAAATCCTTGGCTAGGGGTATAGCTCAATATCATTTACTCAACTGAGGTACATCCAGTACTCTATATGCTCAGAGAGAGGGGGCATCTGGTATATGGTAATAAACAAGAGCAACACATGGGGCCCCATCCTCATGGGCCTTAACTCCACTGGAGGGGGACATTGACAAGTGACACATAAACTGTGACAGCATGGGTAAGTTATAAGGAAGCATGACGGAAGGAGGCGATATTGGTGGAGGCTCAGGTTTCTCTAATCCGAAACTAAATGCTGATCTTCGAAGAGCTAGTGAAGCATGTGCTAAAAGATCAGGGATTGAGAGGGCTATTGTACACCTTAGGAGGTAAACGGGTCACAGTAAGGTATACGACATGTTCCCTCATTGCAAGAAGAACTGGAACATCGGTTTCCCAACTCCTAGCACAGGATTAACACAGGCAGCCCCATCAACCCTGTGAATACACAGTTTGCTAGTGACTATTTCTAATGTAAGATTTCCATTCTTCCCTGCCTGCGTTCACATTTTATGGGAGCAAGGACTATCTACCTGTTATCTAGCAGAGCCCAAGTTCATAGTCAGGAGAAAACCTACAGGGCACATGCCAATGGCAGGACATCCCCTGGATGCTGCCACAGATTTTCTTCTCCAAGCCTGAGGATCTAAAATGCTGGCTGACACCCCAGCCTGGGTACGATATATCGCTGTCTGGAGAAGGTAACAGCAGCAAACAGGCTGGTCACCCTGCCCCAAACTGGCCCTAACTTAGAGAGCTGGTGTTCAAGAGCCTGGTTTTAGTTCTGATTACTTTGATCATGTGGATAACAATATAGATATAATTACAGAATTAAGAAATCAAACTAGAAATTTTGTGGGTGCAGTCTGGTCTCTTTGAATGAGGCTTTATTTAAGGCAGGGAGATTTCCAAGTATCAGAGAAGCTGTCCCTGTGTAAATATTGTGTAGGTTTTTTTTTTTTTTTTAAAGGGCAAATATCCCTCTGATCATTTAATTGAATAAAAGAGATGATTTCTACAAAGATGCCCATCAAAGTATGTGAGATGTCCCAAACCTCCCAAGCTGGCATTCTGTAGATCTCAGACATCTACAAATGTGCTAAAATAGAGAATGTGGAACAAAAACACAGGCCAAACATATATCTAGGGTGTCATCAAGAATGGCAGGCAACCAGAGCCACCTTTATCAAGGAAGGCCTCATCCTGCACTGGTATGACCCCACGAATGGCACATGCTCCCACTGGTATATCTCATCAGCTGCCTTTGGATGTGTTACTAGCCATGACCATGAGTTTCTCAAGGGCAGAGATTATAATTTATTTATATCTGTATACTTTTATATGTTGTATCATTAAAAAGTTAGTGATTTGAAAAAAGAGGCCATTGTAATACTCTGGACTTTGAATATTTTTCAGAAGAAATAGACAGGGCAAGAAAGATAATGGGAAGGGCTAACCAAGGACTTAACCTGGGGCTACCTCAATGTGGAATGCCAGGATGGAGACATGATCTAAAAAGAAAGGACCTTGATTTCTGGTCTCAAAGAGGCAGTTCACCAATACACGAGAAGGGCAGGACAGATGAAAAATTCCACACTGGTTCTGTCAAGGTCAAGGCAGCACTGGAGCTTTTGGTAAAAATGTGCAAAGACACGGGTATGGATTAAAAGCACTACAGAAGTGTATAGGGAGGGATAAAAGATGACAACTGAGGTGAAAGTTGTGGGAAAGATTAACATTCAAGACAGGAAAAGAACATAAAATATTTAAGGTTCATGAGAAGGATGTAAAAGCAACCAAGAAGAAATGGTAAAAAGTAGGAAACCAGACATTATGTCATGGAAGCAGATGGAAAGGGGAATTTTTAAGACAGAAATGACCAGCATGCTTCAAGATCAAAGAAAGGTCAAAGGAGAATTTAAAATTGGCAATAGATGGGTATTTGGGGATTCTTGTGTGCTTTACTCAATAGAGCACAGACACAGACCTGCCCCCTCCCCGACTAAGCACAGTAGAAGAAAAGCAATTCAGGGATAAGGGGTTATGAGTAGATAAGATAGGTGATGGTTAAACAAGGACAATGCATTGTTAGGATGGGAAATGTATGAGTATGTTTACAGGGTATAGGACAGATATATAGGAGAGAGAGAAAAAGCATTTTGGGGAAGAATATAAGCTCATGAGTGCAGCACTGGAATCCATCTGCACAGAGCTTTTGGACCCCATTGCTGAGCCCAGACCCTGCTGTACTGGAAGATGCTGAATACATTTCAAATGGGTAGAGAATCTGCATAGGGTATGGTCTGGAGAAGAACAGGTTGAGCCCAGGGGAGCCCACAGTGTGCAGGAGGAAGAATGATGTACTCAGAGCAGACAGCCTCTATCTGGAGTGGAAGTAGGTGCCAGATTATTCATTTGTTGACCACGAGAGGGCAAAGAACAAACAGATTTGTGCAGTCCTCAGAGAAGAAGGGAAGAGTACATAATGGTCACAAATGTTTACCAAAAAAAAAAAAAAAGTGATCAGGAACAACAGCCAACTGGAATGAGATTCCACATGAAAGGGACATTCTGCACGGGGGTGATACATACCCAGGAACCAAGGGACACCACCATCTTCCCTATAGGACATATATTCTGAGAGAAAAGAATTAGCACTTCAGTTTTTAAAGTCTGTGGCAGATAGTTTGGTTATAGAAAATATATAGAGCATTGTGTGAAGAAGTTGGAGTTACAGAGACTGTTTCCCTGGGAGACAAAGGGGAAAGGATTGGGAAAGGGGTTTGAGACAAGGGCAGAGCATGCTGCCCCATCTGTTCCTCACAGAGTAAGTGTCCATAACCTTAACCTGTTTTGCATAGTACTGCAGGGACAGGATACAGATTGTGGGAGATGTTGGGAGTGAGATTTAGTGACGTCCAAGGTCACACACCAGTATTTGAATCCAGCAGTGGATGAAACCAGATTCTTCCACTGTCACATGGATTTCTCATAAAAGGATGGTGAAGTGGGTGAAGCAGCCCAGGCCAGAGAGGGAGAGAGGGTGAAGAACTAGAGAAGACTGCAGACCCATTCAAAGATTAGGGCTGACTGTGGACTGTGTGACCCCAGCACGCTTATCCACGGCCCATAATGTCCCCAGAAGATGCTCAAGTTGTTTGTTTTTTTTTTTTTTTCATCAGTACTATTGTCTGTTTCCTCATTTTGAGTTTTGCATGATTTGGGAGGGAACTCCAGGTTCAGCAAGGACTGATAAGAATATGTTAAGGAAGTTAATGGACAATGGCCTTCCTAAGTGGGACTCTTCCACCACTGGCCTTGCCAAAGGGATAGCCAGGCAACTCTCCTTCCTGGAACTGACTGCTACTTTTGACCACGGTTGACTGCCCAGACACCAGGGAAGAGAAGGTGGGTTAATCTGCTCCCGGGATGTGAAGAATCTGGATGGCAGCAGAGGACTGGATGAAAACAGGAAGAGGAAGAGGCAGCCTGAGAGGGCATGGGGCACGTGAGCGAGGGAGAGGTACCAGCCCAAAGCTGTACCAATTCTCAATGGAGCTCCTATTCCCTTAGGTTTCACCTGTCTTTACAACTAGCCCCGCTCTAAGTTAGTGTGTGATTTTTCACTCTCCAATCTACCCATGTACTCAGTTTGAATCAGGGTCCACCTCCTGACTTTCTGCATCTGTCTCCTGTTGCCCAGGCTGCACCTGAAGATTGAGGCAGGTACTCAACACATCACAGGAGACACTTGAATGCTTCTCTTCCCCCATCACTTGGCCAGCTCATCTTCCTATGCACAGCCCCATTCTTGGTGGTGACACCATATTTACCCAGTTACTCATGGGGCTATTTGAGGGATAAAGACCTTCCACAGTCAAGTTCCTGTCCACTTCAGAGTTGAGTCTTACTTTTCATGGTCCTTCTTTATTCTTTATAACCTAACACTCCTCAAATTGCCTGTAGCCTGTTTGCCCTCCAGGCCTCACTAGAAAGCACCTCATGAGGGCTCAACACCCAAATGCTCCTCCCTCCTGGAATGCCAGTCCCCCCCTGCACATTCCTTCTCCCCAACTTCCCATCAAGCTATTTCTCATTTACCTTTTATGTCCCAGCTCAGAATCACCAACTCCAAGAAGTAACCTCGTACTGTCTATGACCCGCTTCCTGGCTGGAGCAGGTACCCAGCACATCTGGAACAACCTATTTATGTCTTACCACCACAGTCCAGTATGATCTTCTGAGCTTTCAACACATGAGAATAGGACAGGATATATCCTGGTTCCCTCAGAGCCAGAACAGCACCTGGCATATGGCAGATGTTCCATAAATATAGAGGATGAATGAAAAAGGGATGAAAAGTGATTTGGATTTGGGCTTTTGTCTCTGCTGTATTGTGCTGGGCACACTTGATAGTTCTTGAGACACACCTGCTGCTATGACAGGAGGAACTGGCTCCCATCTATACCAAGCCTGTTGCTCCCAAGGACCAGATGAGTTCAAGGAGTCACCCCATCTCCCCATCATGGATAAGGGTGGGGAAGACTGTGGTCTTTGTACCAGAGATGTTGCTTGGACTGTGTCTGTAGTATCCCTGCAGTACAGCCACTCACTCATACTGGAGTCATGACTCATGGATTTTGCAGGAGTGGCAAGATGGGATTAAAATATTTGAACATGGAGAAACACTTGGAATACAAAAGAAACAGAATGGATAGGAGGTGGGTAAATTATGTATTTGTCAAGAACATGAACCCTTTAGTGAAAAAATTCAGCAGCCATGGGGATGGAACATGCTGAAATGCTGGAAAACCTGTGATTGAAGATAGAGAGCAGCAGAAACAGATGCTGTCCCCCTGGGGTAAGCAGCTGAGGGATCCTCAGCCAGAGGTGGGCAATAAGGCAAGAAGATAATCAGCTCAGACACAGGCAGTGGCTCTTCAAGAAGATG